TTGACATATTCCTTTCTAGTTAATTTGTTATTGCTATTGCTAACAAATAAACAAAATTCACACTTTTGAGAATCGGATAAAGTTACTTTACTTTTTGGAGGCATTTTATTTAAAAGCAAAAATATTTTAATGAGAAAAGTGTGATGCAAAAATTAAATGGTTATTATAGGTATTATCATTAGGAAAAGAATTTGATTTAATTTCGTGTATGAATTTTTATTTTTCCATTTCTATATTAATGGCGTCCATTTAGTTTAATAAAAACATTTCCATTAACTGTTAGTTAGTAATAGACAATAGATTGATAATCATTACCATTTGAAACCTTTAAGAGTATTATAAGAACAATAAAATATTTGTGGGATAGAATATATACAATAAAATATGGCGAATGTAAAGATGATCTTGTAAAGGCAAAAAAACAAAGATCAAATAATAAGAATGCAATGAATGTATTCTTAAAAAAAAGATCAATGAATGTATTGTAAAAAGGAAAAAAACCAATGATAAAAAGATCAAACAATGGAGTGTATTGTAGAAAAAGGAAAAAATGAATGTATTGTATAGATACGAACTTGAACTTTCTGGGTATAGATGATCTGTACAATTCGGTATTAAGGTGATGTTGCATGATTTTCATTGAACATATCACGTGAAAGCCACAGGCGTATAGTGTAGAATATAGAGGGGTGCATTTATCTCTCAAGTCCCGAGCTCAGGAATGAGTAAAAACACGCATTTAGAGAGGGGGTTGACTGTACAATAGTAGACTTAGTAGACAACGTCGTCAAAGTTGATAAAATAGACTTGGATGAATTCCATGTGCTTTTTCTTTGAATAAAAGAAAATAATAACAAGTTTCGACTTGAGAAATAATCAAATCATACTCAAAGTTATTCGCTACTAAATACCCTATTCAGTTTGATCCTCATAACCTTATTCTATCAATTAAATTCGCTCTCCTAAAAATGAAATCCGTCACGCGAAGACCAATTACAACTCTACTTACTTACCTTACATATTATATATCTCATTAAATACTTGACCAAATTGAACGATCTGTAGAATGTACGAATTCTATTAAATATCATATACATAGTCAATGTGTAGCAAAGTTATTCAAAATTGATTCGAGAATCATGATTCATTGACACTTATGAACAAATAGCTTAAGCTTAGAAACAGCACAGAAAATTATATGCAATCTCTTATATAACAATCTCTTTCTTGCGCCAATTTCTAGAATCGTCACATTACTATTTACTTTAATTGTTCACAAATCTAACTATTTCCTCCTAGTTGGGATTTAGCTCCTTTGATACCGTGTAATTCATATGACCATCTTTATATGTCTATATCACATGTATTTCATAGTACCATCCAAGAATAAAATGCTATATAATTCACTCTTTATAACAAACCTTCCGTCTTGTATTAATATGTATTTTTTTGTGCCACTTTTTGTTATAGAGAAAGATGTTCGTTATTCATAAAAAAAATGAAAAGAGAAGTTCGTCATGGTGTGACTTTCGTTATAGAAAGATCCGTTATAAAGGAGAGCGAACTGTAATTTATTTTCTGCTACAATCAGCAAAGTCATTGATTGAGTCAGCATAACAATATCATTAACACATTCAACTTTAAGAAAATAAAAAAATGGATCAATTAGTTACCTCATCAACTAATTATATTCTTGTTGTTATATAACTATTTTGTGTTCTTCAACTACAAATGTATCAGGCTAAACACCAAAGAGTGGGAGTGGACTTCGATTTGTATGATCTGATGTTTGGGGCTAATGTTATAAAGAGTTTGTTTTTATATAGTAGATGATTTAATAAATAATCTAAACCGATTTGCAATGGAAAGATCACATAATCCACTGGAATTATAAAAAAAATATGAATCTCAAATTACAAAGACAAGCTGGTCCTACACTCAGTCAGTATTCATACAACAGTGTGCTTGCATTCGATCCTTTACACCATTTAAAACCTATTTTTTCAAAGTGTTATTATAAATGTGCCTTCTTAGCATTGTATCCTATACTTTTTTTAAGACAATAAAATTAAAAATGAACTAATGATAATACTCTTGAAAGCACATCTCGTCTAATTTCTGAATTACTTTCTCGATGTAGGATCACTTGGACGGATTTGATTTTTTAATGCACTTGGACAATTTTTTTCTTCAAAGCAGGAAATCTGTTTTTAGGGCACGCTCAATAAAAATGCACAGTTTATCAAAGACCTGGTTTGAACTTTGATATCTTAGAAAATGAGCAAAATAATAAGTGTAAATATTTTTGCTTTATTACATTGTCTAGACTGGGCATTAACAACCCTATTTCAGCTTTTTTTGTCAATTTATTTTAATGAGAAAATTAATTTAGAACTAGAATTAGAAGGAAAGAAAGAATTGAAAATATCATTAGATTAGTTGACTGGATATGGTTATGATTAAAAATAAAGAGAATAAGAAATAAAGACCTTTTTTTCTTTATCAATTTTTAATATTGTTCTTTTTCAATTAGTTATTACAACAATGAAAAAAAATTTTCCTTGTACTTTTTTTTTGCCGATCCCCTTTACCCTCCTTCTTTGAATTAATAATAATATATTTAGTATTTTACTTGACTCTGTGTTTCATAATAATAATAATATGTATTTTTGTACACAGACAATAATAAAACAATAATAGTAATTTTTTTAAAACGATGATCAGTTAGTAGTTGTTGTACGTTTTGGAAATTTGATAATAATAGTAATAATATAATTCATTAAATTCATTAATTAAGAAAAAAACTAATAAAAATTAGGAAGATACTATATTAAAAAAATTTTCTGGGAAAAATTTTGCTTTTGAAAAACGGGAATTTTAAAAAAGTTAAACAGGTTTTATTAATATTATTATTGTGTATTATTAATATTATTAATTGGTGCGATTTTGATTAATATGTATTGATCCGGGTAAGTGATGGATATGACGATGACGGGGATGATGATTAACTGATGACGATGGTTTTTAAAAAAAAATGGGTACAAGATCGTCGTCATTCATTATCATCAAAATACAATGATAATTTAAATGAATTTTGACATCAAAATATTTACAGGGTTCAATTTATTTATTGTTTATTTATGTTTGTTTATGTTTATAAAAAAATTAATTTATGAATATATAAAAATGGAAAACGTAATTACATATAGCTAATCAGAAATGGTTAGTATGAAGGGGAAGTACATTATCAAAAAATTATAATCTTTGCTGTCGGATTTTGCCGCTTAGAGATGAAAGAAGAAATGAAAATCAGAAGCAGGAAGAATGATTGATGGATGGGCGGCAAATTAAGCACACGGAACTTTATGTAACCATTCGATTTATTAATAATAGTGATGATATTATAGAAGGATAGTCGGATTAACAACAAATGATAAATAGGCATATAAACTGATAAGATAAAGGAATATTAATAATAATGGCTAATTAATGAATTAAAATTAAAGATTATTTATTAATAGTAATTATAAAATGAAGGTGGCTTATGAAATTAAAGATATCGGACAAATCCGAATCTGAATTATTGTTATTGTTATATTAATATAATATGTGTAAAGATTTCAGGGTTAAACCTTTTTAGAAAACGTTACACAATGTACATTTGATCACCTGATTTCAGTGCTTGATGCCAAATCAAAGAGCCTATGCGACGAGAAAACTTACGACTAAATTAAGAATCAATCTTTTTATACAAAGAACGAAAAGTCCATGTAGCAAAAACAAGCTTGATTTCGAAAAAAAAAAACAAAGTAGAAATGATCAAAGACGTTATATTATTAAAGCCAAACAACAACAATCGACTGATAAAAAACAACTTGTATAGTGATATTGTCATATTGACTTTTTGATATTTGCAAGCAGATCGCAATTAGGTTTTATCACAACTAACTACTATCGGTAATTAAGCTAGCTAAAATATATCAAAAGATTTATTGAATGGATCGATTTATTAATAAAAGATAAGAACTATATTTCTACAATTAAAATTTAGTAGTAATGATAGATTCATGTTTTATTTTATGTATTATATATATATGTATGCTCTTTATAACACAATCAAGCTTGCAATAAAGATATTTGAAAACCTGTCTTGTAATGATGGAAGCGATGAAAGTGACAAAAACACAATCTAAAATTTGGCTGATATTTTTTGACGATTACATCAATCAAGTCAGATGATCTGAAGTCTACAGGGTCAAAAAATTATGCTTTCATTTTTTATGTGTACTAAAAATCAGGCAATAAATGATCAACCGACTTGTTATATTATATGTCAAGGGAAAATTTTTAAAAATAAATTATGTTTATTTTTTATTAATATTTTTTATTATGAATTTGGACTTTTTGCTGAAAAAAATATATATATATAAATGCAAAAAAAATAATATGAATGTGTGTATATATTTATTTATATTTATATATAAATAAAGATAATAAAAATAAAAAAATATAATGTGTTTGTGTGTGTATGTGTATATATTATTATGTATATATTATATTATATATGTAAAGACATCACGCGAAATAAATACATAAATTACGCGCGACGCAAAAGGAAAAATATTACAAATTAAAAAAAGAAAATTATTATATTATGTATATATATATTATATATATATAAAATTAAATTTTTAACGTAAAAAAAAAAAACATCCATATATATTTAAAAAAACCTCCATAATAAAAATCCCCCAAGAAAATAATAAAATAATAACATAATTTAAAAAAAAATAGCAAGTATTTTTATTAATTATGTTATAATAATTATCATTAAACTATATTATGTATTATATATATACTGTGTTTACTATATATAAAATTTTAAACTGTACAAAAAATAAAAAATATATATTATATTTATATCATAAATATAAATATATTAAAATATTATATTAATTAAAAAACTCAAATTACAACAAACTATTAATATTAGATTTTTTTCAAACAAATGAAGTGTGGGCTACTGCTTGATTTGAAGAATCAGTTGCATGTGCTGACATTGGTGATGGATATATTGAATGTGCACCATAACTAGTGAAAGCACCAGAATTTTGCCCGTCTACGTGAGATGATGTTGCAGTATTAGGATGACCATGAATATTTGCGTATTCTGATATATCGTAATTTAAGTTACCCATGCCAGCGCCAGCGTATGACATTGTTGGTTGACCTGGAATGCCAGCTGCGACAGCAGCGTTACCATTTAAACCTTGGTGAAGATATGGCTGACCTACAGCATATGTACGAGGTGAACGGATTTGTCTGTTGTAATGTGATTGCATATTTTGCATATTTCCATATGGGTTAACAACATTATCAAGATAAGATCTGCTCATTTCGGGGACTGCAGTCATTGTTTCACGGTATCTGTGATTATCGTATGAATTCCATGGTTCTGGCCTATAAGGAGTTGGATCACTTGAAGATCGATTGTTCCGGCTTCTTGATCTATGTGATTCTGCTTCTGCAGCTCTGAAATCAACCTTCCAATAAGATCCTTTGCCAGGTTCATTGATAGGACGAGGAACACGTACAAATGTTTTGTTCAAAGATAAATTATGTCTTATGGAATTCTATTATTTCATTAAGAAAAAAATAATAAATGAAAATTTAGAATAAAGATTCCAACAGTTCCAACAATTAGTGTCATTATAAAATAAATAAAAAAACTAATTACCTTCCAACCACTTCCAGCAGTTTTATAATAAGGATAATTTTCCATTACCCAATTATAGATTTCATTTAATGTGAGTTGTTTATTTGGACTATTTGTGATGGCATAAGTGATTAAAGTGGCATAAGAATACGGTGGTTTTCCTTGAATATGAGTTTCAACTACAAGATCTTGGGGATTTTTTGAGGGTGATGTGATCGGAGTAGTTGTTGCAGATGTAGATGATTTACGATTATTATTATTTCCGTTAGTATTATTGTTGTTGCTTGCGTTGTTGTGATTATTAAAGTTATCAGCGGATGGATTTGATGATGATTGTTCAGTTTTTATTGGATTATATTGATTGTTACCATTTGAAGTTGTACCATAAACGCTATTAGGAGTGATCAAACCATTGTTTGAAGAAGTGTTGGGAGAATGATTGGTAGAATTCGCGATTGGAGGAGGTAAATAATGCCTTGCGTTTGAAGATGTATTATTTGAATTATTATTATTGGACGATGATGGTTGGTAGTGAGAATGTGGTGGTTGAGCAGAGGATGATTGATTGTTTGGTTGTTGATGTTGAGAATGATGAAGCATTGATTGAGGTGGAGGAATATGGTGATGGTGAGATGATTGTTGTTGTTGTTGATGATGATGCTGTTGTTGCTGCTGGTTATTTTGATAAAAGTTTCTTGGGTTGATGCGTATATTCCAGTCAGGGATATTTCCAACAAGGTTTGGTGTGGTGCTATCGAGTTCAGTCATAACGATTATTGTTATTTATTTATGTATAATATCTAATTATTTTGAAAAGAGAAAAAAATTTTTTATTGGTTAGAAAAATCCGCCAACTTATATATTCAAGATTCTTTTAACTATATTTAATTTTTATAACGCATTTAAATGATGTATGTATACAAATGACGCAATAATGATATAATATATATTAATTAAATGTTCTCCGGGAAACATGCTCTCGAAGAAACATCCAAAAACCCAAATCTAAATTTAAATCTAACAATATAGCATTACAGCTATCAAGGTTAATTAATAAATTATACTTTACCTCTTTTGTTTCACTAAATTTTTTTCCTCTCACTTTTGTTTGAGATTGTAATGAATCGATATATTCCTTGTCAAGAAGGGAAATGTTTTAATTAAAATAAAAATATATAAATTTTTTTTTTAATTTTAATTTTTAATTTTTTTTTTTTTATGGAGGGGAAAATATTTTTATGCTATTTATATAAATGTTTGTTATTATTATTTATTAAAAAAAAATATTTACTATTTATTTACTATTTATTTACTAAATTTTTTTTTAAAATTAAAATTAAAAAAAGTTTTTTTTTTAAAGAAGAACGGAACGTTATTATTTAATGTGATGCTTATTTTTTTTTTTAAAATAATTAACAACACACAGAAAATTTGTTTTTATTTTATTTAAAAATAAATTTAAACAAGTAAAAATATTTATTTTTTTGATGAAAAAAAGAAGGCAACGTAGGAGATGAATTCTCGTATTTATATAGTTCTTTTTTCAATTGATTATTTTATTGTAAATCTTTTTTATTCATTCATATAGAATAAATGTTATAATAAAATAAGAATTTTTTTTATTTATATTTTTTATTTTTATTCTAAAAATGATAATATTATAATAATATCTTTTTTTCTATATTATTTATTTATATTTATTATTTATCATGATATATATAAATAAATAAAATATGAAATAAAAAAATTAAAATAATAATATATAAAAAAAAAATTTTTTTTACAAAATCAACGCAATATACACAAAAACAAAAATATATAGTTTTATTTTATAAAAAATTATTAATTAATTCTCAATTAATATTTGATTAATATATTAATACGTACACACGCCTATCTCAACCAACCAACCAGCCAAACCAATCAATCCCATTCTATAACCGCGTTACCTGAAATAAAGAATATATATCAAGAAGTATTAGAGGCTTTTCGCGTAAAATCGAATATTAATAGTAAGAAGAATAATAATAATAATAATAATAATTAATAGCAGTTAATAGTAATAAATTCTTATAGTAATAAATAAATAAATGAAACATTGCCCATATATTTATTTGATTTATTTCAAACCATATTGGCAAATTATTTATTTATTATTTCACAAAAAAAAAATAGCCGTAAAAAATATAACGCAATTTTTCCTTTAAACATCATACACATGCAGACAGATGAATTAAAGTGGCATTGAATAATACATGATATATAGTAATCAATTATTGTTAACATAGTATATAAAATTTAAAGATAATAACAAATAGCATAAATAGTACAAATAACATACACGCATATACATTTGACTGTGGGTACGCATGTGTGTATTTGGCATAAAATTTTGTGGTAACGTGTTGGCGGCATGAATTCTTGATGCGAGTGCGTGAGTGGTGTTTTGAAATGTTGCTTTGGTTACATTATATTTCAAGTATTTTTTAAAGTTTAAAAAAATTTTTTTTTTAATTTAAAATTCCCCAAATAAATTTTCTAATTGTCCAAATGTTAACTTTACTGGTGCCATGAAATCTCTTTTGATTAATTCGATTATCGAGAGAACCTTTAGAAAGAAATATACATATGTATATGATTTTTACATTGCTGCATGCATATTTTATGAGGTGACATTCTTTCTAATTTCTCATTACTTTTCTCTCGTTGATTTTTTTGTTTTTTTTTGTTTAAACATTCACTTATATGTACGCACAAACACGTATCCTACACGCATACACGCATATTATCAGTGTTAGCAAATGACCTCTATATTTCTGTCCAAGCTATTTGAAAAATGGCAAATTTACCAAAATTGTTATTTATCATTAATAAAAAAATTTGTCAATGGATTGAGTGAATTAATAATAAATTTGTAAATAAAAATGCGGTTATTCTTATCTTGAAACAATCTAATCTTTATCGTTCGTTCGCTTCCTCTTAAAATTAATTAAAATTACTATGTTTAGTATTAGCCGTAGCCAGTAGAATTAAATTAAATTAAAAAGAAAGGGTGAGCGTAGATCTTACTTGGTAACGATGGATAATACCGAATCGTCGTTATTTACCATTTACCAATTTACCAATCATTATAATTTAATATGTTTATTTGATTAAATGCTAATTAAAAGAAGAAATTTAAAATTTCATCGACGAGAGAAAAAACAAGAATTATTAATTTAATACAAACAGAATAGAAAAAATAACCACATCTTACTAAATTTAGAAGAACAATAAAAAACTTATTTTTTGTAACAACAACAACCACTACTACTACAAAATAAGAATAAAACAAAAACACAGAACCCAGTATCATAGAATAATCCAAGAATCAAATTCTTTAGAATGAAGTTTAATGATTAATATTAATCTTGTTTAAGTAAATAACATGTTTTGACAATTTCTATGTAACAATAGTACATGGTTAATTAATTTAATATTTTGTTGTAATGTTGCTGATTTATTTTCTACTACATAATAATAATGGAAGATCAATCAATGAATGAATAATTAATTAATATAAAACATCAATTATTAAACTATCAATTAATATTTTTAATTTCTTCTTATTATCTTAAAATTACAAAGTAAATCACGATGGAAAAATTTTTTATACAATTAACAAGGTTTGCAGTAACCAATAACATCAACAACTCATAATACTAAAATTTCTAAATTTGTATAAAATTTATTAAATATTTTTTTAAAATCTTGTTTCAAGTAGTACTTGCACATTCTCAATCACGCACTCTCAACCATTGATCTATTTTTTTTAATATCTTTACACGTTAGAAAAAAACCTAAACTGATTAATTAATTAATTAATTAGTATTAATTAAATAATTTTAGCGACTTTCTTTCCTTCCATCCTTCTATCCCTTGATTAAAAATTTCTTCTTCGATCCTGCTTTTTTCTTTCTTAAATATTAATCTGATCGACATCCTCCAATTAAAATTAAAGATCTTTTTTTTTTCCTTAAAATCTTATTATAATTAGAATTAGTCGGTTTTAAAAAGAACAATGGAAATGTAAATCTAACACGAGGCTATTATTAAAAAACAGTAATACTTAAAATTGGTGTAATCTTATTTTTTTTTAAAAAAAAAATTTTGAATAAGATAACCAGTTGGATGTGTGTATGTTTGGTGGGTAAAATTTCAGGGTCCATTCTAAATTAAAATAAATATTTAATTAATATTTAATTAAATTATTTTTAAAAATAATGATGATTATTATTAGAAAAAAAAATAAATATTAAAATTTTGTTGAATGAATGAATGGATGAATGAACATCTTCATTCATCCATTCATACATTTATCCATTCATAATAATAGTAATTAGCAATTCTTAAAAGTTATTGTTTGTTTCCCTTATTATTAGATTTTTTATTTTCCCGTTCCCTCAAAAAAAAAATCCCCCTTCATCAAATCAACACGTTATATATATATTCTTTCTATTTCTACGAAATTACCAAATTGGATTTTATCATATATATTTTTTTGTATGAGTGAATGAGAGAGATCTACAAAAAAAAAATATTTGTTAAGAATACATGTGTTTGTTTTTTTTTGTATATAAATATCGTAATAATTATAATAAAATAATTTTAATGCTCAGCATCTTGATTACTGATACTCGACATCCTTAATAACTAATACTAACTAATACTGATAATACTGATTCTCGGGGTCATTAATTATTAAATGCTCAATATCCCTCAATTAATAATATTCTGCATTTAATAATTAATGCTCAACATCCTTAATTAACATTTAATGTTAAGCCATCCTAACATATATATACATACATTCATTATCCTTAATCTTTTTTATCTGTTTATAACACAATAATTAATTCCTTTACTTTCTCTTTTCTTTCGTCATTAGTTCATTCATTGGTCCACTAACTGATTCATTAATCAGCTGTTTATTAATCAGATTCGTTTTCATCATCCATCATTAAAAATAATCCTGGGTCATTCCAGAGTTATATTCAAAAATAATGATAATAATAATAATATAAATATACAATTATTCTGAAGCTTTGATTGGTTGATTAATAACTTTTATTATTTTGAAGAGATCATCAAATATTATTATTGGTTGTTGGCATTTTGCTATTGAACGAGTCAGCCAGTTTATTTAGTAAGCATTAGGTAATTGAAAATATACATGATTTCGTTCTTGTTACCGCCTGTTGGATCGAGATTTACATCCATATAATTATTCTGTATTCTAAAAATCATATAAAAACTTACGAATGATAGCGATTTATATTTAATATAGTAATTAAATATTGAATTAATAACTTTAAAAGGTAATTTCATGATTAAATTAAGAATTGAATGCATTAAATTTATTTTGCTTGCATTCTGCATCGTCACAATAGGAATATAGCAATAATAATAATAATAACAGCTTATTTGGATATTAAAATTTAATTTAATTTAATTTAATTCAATCGTTTCTTTTAAAGATTTAATTAAAAATATGTGAGAAAAATGAATTAGGAAAAATAAAAATGATAATTTTAACAAGTGAGTTGTAAATAAATAAACAGCTAATAAACAAATAAATATGTAAATTTTTATATATTATTCGATGTTAAATCTGTCTAAATAAAGTTAACAAACAAAAACAATTGAAAGATTTTAGAAATAAAAGAGAAAGAATTGATTAATTAATTTAATTGTTAATTTCTTCTAAAAAAACCAGCTTTTTTTAGAACTTGTCTAAAATTGATTAGCATATAATTAATAAAAAGAAAATTAGGAAAACAGCTTTTTTTTTTTATTCGGAAAAATTTTTGAATTGGTCAAAATATTCCTTTATAGTCACATGATAAATATACTTTGAATCAATAAGCCTTTTCGATATAAATGTTATTATTATCATTTAATATAATAATAATAATGCACCAAAACGAAAAACTAAAAAGAAGGAAATATAACTGTAACCAATAAATATTCTTTATAGAATGGAAATACATTTAAAAAAATATTGATCGACATAAATTTAAGGTTTAAGATCGTTCGTTGTGTTAATTTAATTAATTTAACTGTAACAGTTAATAAAAAAATTTTTTGAATTCTAAATTCTGAATTCTGAATTCTGAATTCTTAAATACAAAAAAAGAAAATAATAAGACCAATTAATCTTTGCATTATTGGTAGTAAGAAAAAATTGGATTTTGGTCCATTAGTCAGTCAATTAGTCAGTTGAACGGCATACATAAATTCTTCTTTGAATAAAATGTATTCTATGATAAATAATTTTAAAAATATAATATATAAAACAATATATTATTTTTATTTTATTTTTTTTTGACAGTGCGAGTAAATATAAACAAATAATAAACAAATAATAAGCAATTTTTCGATTGCCGGACATTCGACCCACAATATTTAAATAATAAATAATAATAAAATGCAGGGTCAAAAAAATTGATAAATATTTTTTAATTAATTAAAACAAATAATCGGTTTTAGTCAAAATATTTATTTATTTTATTTTTGGCGGGAATAACAATAACGGTTCTTATATATATGTATATATATATATATAACAATGACAATAAAGATTTATACAAGAGTAATGGAGAGATGGAAGTAGCAAAGTAGGAGAATTGAAATTTTTTTAATTATTTGATAATTTAACCGTTATCGAAATAATTGACGAGTAAGTACATGGCAACAATATTATTGGTTAATTTCTTCTAATTATTTGAAATGAACGAATAGAATTAATAATTAATAAAAGTTTCTTTAAAAATATAATGAATGTTCAAGAAGATGTTGATTAACACTTTACATTCACATTCACGCATATACACACACTACTATTATTGTCAACTAGTTAATTCTCATTCCGAGACTTCGCTGAGTCAATTATTGGTTTTTATAAAAAAAAATTTCTAATCTATTCCTTTCTTGCTCAATTGCATCAGAGTTTGGTAAAGTACATTGATCGCGTGGTATTATTATTTATCAATGCAAGCAGAAAAAGATCTTTGTTATTTAAAGAAATTTACTAGAAAGCTATAATGTATATATATACACACATAATAAGAAAAAAAATTTTTTTTCATTTAGAATAGGAAAATTTAAGCTGTGCATTTTTAAATAAATACTATATTTGGTTTAATTTGATGTTTAAATAATTGACAAAAAAAAAACCAAGATTTAATCAATGAAAATCAATTGAAAAAACCCACATTTCTATTATATTTCCATATTCGGAAAAACTACTCCTTTTTTTATTTTTTTATACCCTCCCTCTTTTTTTCCCCCCCATAAAAAGCATGTTCATCAAATATTAACCTGTTTATTTTAGATTTATCTTTATTTTTAAAGAAAGTAATCATATGATTATTCGATTTATAGAAATGTGTGGCGTGGTGGATGTTTCATAAAGAAAAATCATGGGTGGAAAACGTTAAAATCACCACCACCACCGCCGTCTTCTTCTTGAAGGATCACACACACACACACATTTCTTACTATTGGTTTATACATCACACGCACTCTTTACATGTGAAGAAATATTGTTAATACTATTCATTATTAAATATTATTCTTCCCACGAATCAAAATTTTTTTCTTCTTTTTTTTCTCGCGCGTTAGTACTAGTCTAATCTTGAATGAAACGCAAGGTTTCAATAATAGATATTATTTAATTTATTTATCAATAATGATATTAGTGGTATTTCTATTTTTGGTGATCAAATGCTTTTCTTGCTTTCCTTTCTTTGGCTCTCTCTTCGAAGCAGTTGTTTAATGATTGATTGTGTAAGGATTAGTTCAAATCAAAAATCAATAGAACAATTTTCTGCAGGAGATTTTCAAATCAGCTTAGCTAATAAATAAATATAATAATAATAATAATAATACCCATGTCCTATTACCATAATTTTTGATTTTTATTATTAATAAAAACTCTGATGTTGCGAATTATTAATCAAAAATGGAGAGAGTGTGGAATTAAAAAAAACATTTACACAAAACGTAATAATAATGAATACACTTTTTGTGTATACACCAGAATGTCAAAAACAAAATTCCGTTATTATTT